TTTATGTTAAGCATATGAAGGTTTGATTTCTACTTTAATTGTATCATTATAGAAACTTCCTTGTAACTAATTTGATATAATTTTTTTTATTTACTTAAAAGGTTTATTTATCCTACATCATTTCAGAACAAACTGAGTAAAAACAGGTGATAAATTAAAACACAACCTTATATTAATTGTTGATTTGTTTTTTACAGCTTATTTTCCGGTTATTTAAAAGCCAGAAAATATTTTTTTTTAGATTTTTAGAATTTCTTGGAGATAATAATGATTTACTGATACAAGTCCTACTAATTAACCCATAACGGGGGGGGGGGGAGGTGGATTCATATTTTTCCCAAGGGTATTTGTGCATAAGTGAATATAACAAGCCTGATTGGAAATGGAATTTGGCATTCTGATTTTCAATTGCGAGTTATTATCCACTACGCCACCTGCACATCTAAGTTTAGTGCACCTAGTATTCCCAAGCAGTCATCCATCTAGGTAGTGACCAGGCTCAATGTTGCCTTAACTTCGTTGATCATATAAGAAGCAGTGATTCAATGTGATGTGGCTGTATGCCCCATATATTATTAGTAGAAGATTAATAGATCAATTATAGGTGTAAAAAATATTTGTTAGTAATTGTCAACTTTAGTACAAAACCTTACTTGTTATGGTTTATATTCACTCTTAACATCTTGTCAGACCAGCTTACAATCCACAGTATTATTACAAGTGTTCCTTATACTTGTAAAATATATAAAATGTAAATCGTGTAATTATCATTATGGCTAATTATTTTTTTTTACTGTACAATCTTCTGCTTTTATAAGCAGAAGATTGTACAGTAAAAAAAAAAAAGTAAACAAAAAACTAAAAACATTTTCGAGTAACATATTCACATGTAGTATAAACCTTATTTAGATTTTAAACCTCTTTTACTAATTCAAAGATGACAATGGTTTTGAAAGTGATATTAGGATTAACCAATTTCTCAAAATCATTTTTTTTATTTCTTCACTTAAAGGCAATGAGAGTTTTTGATGCACATCAAATTAAATTACAAAATTATTATTTAAATGAACAGGACATTAAATCAAGTAATTCAGAGACAAAATTCAAGTGCAAATAGACAACAAATATAAATACTAGTGTAAATATTAACATTAATTTTTTTATATCTGATTTTACAAGAAGAAAATGTACAAAATACTAATGAAAATATTATCACACATTTTGGCTGTCAAATTTTACAAGAAGAAAATGTACAAGATACTAATGCAAATATTACCAATTTTGGCTGTCAAATTTTACAAGAAGAAAATGTACAAAATACTAATGTAAATATTATCACCCATTTTGGCTGTCAAATTTTACAAGAAGAAAATGTACAAAATACTAATGTAAATATTATCACCCATTTTGGCTGTCAAATTTTACAAGAAGAAAATGTACAAAATACTAATGTAAATATTATCACCCATTTTGGCTGTCAAATTTTACAAGAAGAAAATGTACAAAATACTAATGTAAATATTATCACCCATTTTGGCTGTCAAATTTTACAAGAAGAAAATGTACAAAATACTAATGTAAATATTATCATACATTTTGATGGTCTGATTTTACAAGCATAAAATAGCATGAAGAAATTTAAGTGTTATTTTACATTTACAGTCAAATTTTTAATTATAAGTAGTGACAAATATTTTTGATCCAGAACAACAGACTTATTTTTTAGTATCATATTCCAATTCCATTTGTTCTTTCATTTATTAGTTGGCTAATTAGCTAGCTCATACATCATTCTCTGTAATAGCTTTCCTGTCCCCTGCCAACAAATTCTTGCTATAGCAGCAATGAAAAGAGTAACATTTTTTTAAACTTCCAGCAAGCCTCATTCTGGGGTGCATTGGAGCTATATATATATATATATATATATATATATGTTTCAAGAAAGAAAGAAAGGGAAGATAGAGGAAATATTAATGTCCTTGTGCATTAAACATCTGCTTCTCTGAAACAGTATAGTAATAGGAAATATGCCAGTCTGAAATGATAAGTCTCAATTGGTTGATTTTGTTTAGCGGCAATGCCTTCAATTATAGATAAAATGTATTATTAGTCATTTTTTTTATAAAATATATTGTTGGCCATTCTACTATAAAATGTATTGCTGGTCATTTTGATTTAAAAATGTATTATTGGTAATTTTACTATGAATAGGTATTGTTAGTAATTTTATATAAAAATGTATTGCTGGTATTTTTACTATAAAAATGTATTTTTATACTTTCATAGTGTTTTGGAGTTTACTATTTGCCCATAGCTGGGACCCTAATAAGTACTACCACCCCAGATCAAGGTGGACCTGGGAACATCATCAGAGGCCTTGCTGTCGGATGTAATTCATGATTAGTCTCAGTAAACAAAATTAGCAAAAACTGGAATTTCCACATGTCCCACTTAAATGAAACAGATGTTATAAAAGCCTATTTGAAAATTTGTTAAATAATATACAATATATGACTGTATGGGTATTAAATGAATGCTTACAATTTATCCCCCACCCTTAAAATGAAAAGATAATATGTCAACCGTAGAATTTCTATGGATTCGGGTAGAGAATGATATTCTTCTCATGAAATAGACAAGAAAGCATGAAGATGAATCAATAAATTCATAGATTGACATGCGGTTTTTCATTGAATTTCAATCTGAAACTTTCAATGTATGTAACCGAGTAACAATCTTGGTTTGAAGATTAATAGTGCATGAAATTTGCATTTGGTGACTTGAAATATGATTGATTCATTTTCAAACCATTGCAGGTTATTTTAAGCCAGAAAATACATTTTTTACATAAGAATTTTTCAAGATAATGATTGTGATACAAGCCTTACTAATTAACCCATAGCTGGGGGGAGAAGAAGAGGCGAATTCATACCTTTCCCAAGGGTATTTGTGCATAAATGAATATAGCAAACCCAACTGGGATTGGAACTCGGCTCATGGATTAACAATTCTGAGTTATTATCCATTACACCAGCCACACATGAAAGTTTACCGCACTTTGTATTTCTAAGTGGTCACCCATCTAGGTACTGACCAGGCTCCATGTTGCTTAATTTTGGTGATAATAAGTGTGAATTGAAAAAGTAATGATTATCAGAAAATTTCTAATTAACGCATTGAGAGTCAATCAAAGAAGGAAAAAGTTTAAAAAATTTTCACCAAAACAGTAAAATGATGGCTAGAGAAGGTGCTGAAGTAAGTTGAAACTGAATCTCTGAATTTACTTTCAGGATTTGGATAATATGGTTCAGATATTTATCAAATTGTAATGTGTTTATCAAATGTCTGACTGAAAAATTTAAAAATGTGGTGGATGTTGTGTAATAGGCACTGTGACTAGAAATAATCACTTTTTTCAAAGTTTTTTCATATTACTATAGCTTAAGTACACTTGATCAAGAATTAAAAAAAATCATTAAAATGTTATAAAAATCAATATGGGAGTTCAGTTTTTTATGTAAATTCAATGTAAATTAATCCCCTTATGGGAATCAAAACAAATATACTTATATATGATTTCTTAAAATGTAAAAGAAAAAAAGTAAAAACAAATTTTGAAATTCAGAATATGGAGTGTTTAATATAGGAATAAAGAACTTCAGATTTACAATGAATTTACATAGAAAATTGGACCCTCTCTTTAACTTTTATAAAATTAAAAATAATTGTTTTTGGTGTTCATGATTTGGAATGCTTCATCTTTAATAATATGAAAAAGAAAAGCATTAATTAATTGAGGGTTAATCAAAATAAAATAAAACATTTAAAAAATGAAGGCTAAAGAAGGTGTCAAAGTAACTTGAAACTGAGTCTATGAATTTACTTCCAGGATTTGGATGTTTCAGATATTTATCAAATTGGAATCTGTTTATGAAAACTCTCACTGAGAAATATTCATGTCATTATCATACATTAATTTGTTATATAAACTGTCTTAAAAGTGACCCTTAAGGACCGGACTAGCTAATAACAAACAATGGAATCCTAAGGTAACTCTAGACAAATGCTCAGATTAGGAAACATTTGTTGGATCAGCGATGTTAAATTTCTTATATAAACCAATGATGGATGCCATGCATGGCACAAAACCTGTTGAATATCTAAACTCTCAGTTGTATACAAACACTTTCTAAGATCAATGGTAAAAAAGGCTTTGAGCAAGTGAAACCAGGGGTTTTGGCAAAGATCGTCTTTCTTTAAACATTGTGGACTGGCAATACAGAATCACAAAGAATTGTACCAAATAACAGAAACCACATCACTTGAAGACTACCAACAGCAGCAACAACTAATCAAATTTATCATGAAGATAAAATAATGATATAATCAAGATGGTGACATTTCACACTACTTCAAACAAAAGGTTAAGAAGAAAACACTCATCAATACTAGAAAGAGCAATGCCAGCTACTGAACTTGAAAAACCTATTTTCCTGAAAAATTGTTTTAAGAAAAAGATTTTATAAACTTCAAACAAAAGCAGTACTGGCTGTTCAGTCAATGAATGCTAAATGTTTCTTTGTAAGGAAACAGCTAATATTATAATTACCTGGAGTGTATGCTATGAATATAAGAGTAGGAAGTACAAAGCAAAAACTATAAGAATATAGAGGACAGGTAACATTTGACCCTTGACTTGAAGAGGTTAAGATTATTGGTGCTTTTGTTTAGCAGCATATCGACCTCTATGGGTTATTTAATGCCAAAATCTAAATATTTTATGTGCAATTTTTTATGGGGGAAGATGATAATGGTCTTAGTCATACAAGTCTAATTAACCTATAGCTGGGGGAAGAAGAGGTAGACTCATACATTTCCCAAGGGTATTTGTACAGAAGTGAATATTAATGAATCCAAGTGGAGCTGGAACTCTGCCTTTGGATTAACAATTCCAAGCCATTATCTATTACACCACCCATTACACTATGTGCACACTCAAGCTTACAACACCTGGTATTCCCAAATGGTTACCCATCTAAGTATTAACCAAACCTAACATTGCTTAACTTTGGTGATTGTACAAGAACTGGTGTTGTAACATGATGTGGCTCTAAGCCAGGTTAAGACTGTAACATTCAGCATTCTGCAGGAGTGGTTCTCAGGGGGAATAAGATATGTGAGTGGAAAATCCTTGTTATTTATCAATTTATGAGAGCTGTTGCCATTTAAATCTATAATCACATTGTCCATAACTTGTACAGGGGGTACTGAAAAGTTCTTAGCATTGCCCACTTCCTAAAATCATACCAAATGGTTAAACATATGATTTTTTTTTTGTTTTGGTTTGAGAGCTTCTGGGTAAAATGAAAAATTTTTCAGTACCCTTAATACATGAGAGATACCTAACGATATCTTTATCATATGCATCTTTTGCTCTATTTAAATAGATATTCAAGTAACTTTTATTAAGTTAACCAAAACAGGCACTTTAGAGTGATGTAATGTTTAACAAGCTTTTTTTGCCTGATCGGTTATTACCGAGTAGTGAGTTTGATCCCTATCGAGTGCTCCACTCTCTGATCTATACTTAGTAAATTGCTATACGTTATTGTACAGCTAGATCAAAATTTATGTAGAAACTGTCCAAAATTTATATTTTTGTTTGAGTACTTTGAGCAATCTCTAGTTATTATAAGGAACATCAATATTATCAATGTTAATATACATGCATTTAAATTAGAAATGTAGCTTTTCTAAAAAAGCTAGGATGAAGCTAATAAAAACTTTTCTCTACAACATTAACATTTATAATGGCAAGAAAAGTACTCAAACAAAACTATTAACTTTGGACTTTTCTCCATAAATCTTATCTGGATTTATCACAAGTTAAAATATATGTACAATAATATAATAAATGATTAAATAGACTAATCTTGTCAGTCAAACTTAGTAAAACCTGTTTGAATGAATCCTAGCTGTGTAAATATATATTTTATATACTTTTTTTTTAAAATTATTCAAATTAAATCATGTGCAGAAAATTGGAATCAATCTGCTTTTCATCTATCACAATAGACTACCTCTTTTTGGCAAAGTGCTAGAGGCTTGAATTAACTTTGAAGTGGTTCAGCATCTCACCTCAGAGGGACCACTTTCAGATAAGCAATATGGCTTTTCCTTCTCTTTGTCAACTGCTCATGTATTAACAATTATTACTGAATCTATCAAGCTTTAGATAAAAATGGTGAATCTTGAAATGTGTGCTTTGGATATTTTGAATGTTTTTGACAGGGTTTGGCATGCTGGTCTTCTTTACGAGATGAAAAGTTATGGCATTTTTGGATGAATTTTTTAACTGATTCAGTCTTTATCAAATCGTGAAATGAAGGTTGTCTCGAATGGCCACTCTTCTTGATCTTTTTGTATTAATGCAGGTATCTCCCAGGGCACTATCATCAACAACATTTCTGATATCATCTGTTCTCAACTTGGTATCTATTTTGATGACACAACTATTTACTCCTGTAATAGTAAGTCTGATTAGAACAATAAGATCAAATTGGCAGTTGATCTATAAGTTACCTACAATCTGTAGAATGGTTTATTAATTTTAATGCCTCCAAAATGAAACTGCTCTCTCTTGTCTTAGAGAACCCTTTTTGTCTTCCATCAGCATGGCTGATGCTAACTTCCAGGAGAATAACTTATTGCACCTTCTAATGATTTCTGCTGACATGAAGTAGATAGATTATATTGAACTAATTGTTAAGTTTGCTGTTAGGAAAGTTGGTTCATTCTGTTGTGCTAAACTATTTTTCCTGCCAGAATCTGTTTTACATGTTGAGTAAGTTTTGTAGAATTAGTAAGTGTTATGACAAAGAATGTTGTGATGTAAACAAAGTGTTTTTTTTATATACATTTGAGGATGTCATCAGACAACACATTAATAAACAGCATAAGGATCATAGTAACATTAGACAGTTCCTCATAAACAAAAATACTAGTGAAATCAAATAGTAAAACCAGACTTATGATCTGCGAAGCAATACTCATACAACAAAAACAACTATCAATAAATAAAAACAATTATAACTTAAGAGCCCACATCTTCAAATGTATATAGTGATTTTCCAAGTGTGGTTTAGATGTGGCACAAGACTGAAAGTAGGGGGAACCCAGTGAGGATGGAACTCACTACTCAGTTTTAATTGTTCTAGCAAGACAAGCTTGCTAACCATTACACTGCCTGAAGGTGCCCATCTTCATATATATAAAAAACAAAAAAAAAAACACACACATCACACTTTGCTTACATCACAACACACCAATTGTCTCTACCTGATGATGACTTAAGAAAGTTAAAAGCTTGAACCATATTTCTTGTACATTTTTTTTTCTGAAATGAACTTTGGACAATTTCTGATGGAATTTCTTCCTTGTCTGAGAAGAACTATTTGTAATTTTGAAAAGTTGATCATTACAATTAATTGACACAAAAAGTGTCATTTTTAAAAATATTTACCTTAAATAACATTTTCTACTTAAATATACAGATTATATATATATATATATATATATATATATATATATATAGAGAGAGAGAGAGAGAGAGAGAGAGTGTGTGTGTGTGTTTCTTTGAAAATGGCTTATGAAAACAAAATGCTTAAATTTGAGCAGTATCTGCAAAACCTCAATTTTGATGGCAAATATATAGACAGACTGAAACAAATGTTAATAAAAAATGCTTGAAAAACTTTCAGTGATATTTAATACATGTGTAAAAGAAAAATTGCTATCCCAAAATACATTTATTTATATATATATATATGTATGTGTGTGTATGTGTGTTTCCAAAAGCTATCTTAATATTAACTGTTGATTTCTATAAATAAGCCAAATGTTTTTTGGTATATAATATTATTCGGACATTTTTCTCCCACTCATAAAAAACTTACTTTGTGTCCAAAAACAAATTGGATCTAACAAGTATCAATTATTAAAAGTTTTATGAACTCATTAATATAAAAGAAATATTATTACGGAAATCAAGAAAGATTCAGACAAGTGAAAACAGGGCAACCAAATACTGAGCAGTACTAAACTAGACAATATCCCTAGACACGAGCAGTAGAACAAGAACAATCTACCTTCATAGATTAAATAAAGAGTTTAGTTTGAAATTCCCTGTAGGTTACCCAGATCAACATGCACCTGATAAAAGGTGGAGGGCTCAATGTCTGAAAAGATGAGGACAATAGTCTACACGTAAATAATGATAACTTCTCCAGCCTTTATTAGGTGTATGTTGATCTGGGTAACCCACTGGGAATTTCGAACTAAACTGTTTATTTAATCTAAAGGGGTAGAATCTTCTTGTTCCACTGCCCATGTCTAGGGATATCCTGTCTAGTTTTTATTTTTAGTATGGCTCAGTTATTGCTTTCCCTATAACAATGTCACAGTGAGAGTGTTAAACATTACAATCAGCTGTAGAGCATTGATACATTTCACAGATTATGGCCCAGATAAAAATGCTGACATTAGAATGTATAACATGCTTGCATTTTGTTTCTTATTACTATAAACAGAGGGCTTAATGGCCGAAATGTTGTGATAACAACAATTAAGATGAGGACAATAATCCACATGTAAATAATGACAACTTCTCATGAAGAAATTCAGAAAGAATTTAGCAAACAGGCAGACAAAAAAAGGAATATATTCAATAAAATTTAAGGGAAAAATTTTTCTATACGTATAAGCAAATATGAAGCCACATATATGGATATACTGACATATGTGCATCAATATGAATTTCTATTCATATGTTTTTGAATGGATTTTTTATCTGACATTATTTCTTATTAGTATAAATGTTATTTTTAGTGGATGCAAGGATAGCAGTTCAAATACATAAAATAATCTTTATAGTAATCAGAATCAAACATATGTATATGCAAGCATGTTATACATTCTAATGTCAGCATTTTTATCTGAGCCATAATCTGTGAAATGTATCAATGCTCTACACCTGATTGCAATGTTTAACACGTTCACTGCAGCATCATTATAGCATTGTTGCCTGGCTGTACTGGCTCATTTTGGGAACAATACGAAATTGCCATTTACTAGAAATAAATGACGGTAAAGATGCTGATGGAAATTTCTCATTGGTGCCATTATTTTGACTTTGATTGGATATTCTTCTGTACAGCTGATGCTAAACAACACCCCAACATACAATATTTTTTTAATCATTTCAACCCAAACAAGGTGAGAATGTCACTAGTATGCAGAGGGTTAGTGAAAGTGAAATACTGAATATAGGGAGGATTGAGGACAGGACAAAAAAATAAACAGGATTCAAGAAGACAGTAGATAGCAAGTGACATTGTATTTAAATTTTTGAAGATTGTAGTTATCTTGTAAACAAGTAAGAGGAAGGGAAAAAAGCTTGTCAAAGCAGTTGCCATGAAAATGTTTGTAGAAAAGACAGAAGTTGTTGGTGAGAAAGTGACTGAAGTTGAGATGCCTGGTCAGGATTACAGATCCTTCTTTGGATTTTGTCAAGAACCTCAAGATGAATTGCAGGAGCACCAGATCAGATACGGCATCAGTATTAAATGCAAGAATAAATGGTAAATTTGTAAATGTGCAAGATGGATTCTGATAAGAAAAATTTTCCAGCACAACACAGTGTCCCAACTTTCAAAATACATCACAAAACAGATTGTATTCTATGCTACTCTATGTCTACATTAGTTTGGAAATAGCACTAAGTGATAGTTTATAAACAAATGCTAGGGATTAATGTTTTGGGAAAAAAAACACACATAGACACTCACGCACTATATATATATATATATATATATACACAATTTCCCATATGCACGATGTTTGTTTTTGATTTTGTTGACTGCACAGTATAGTAGGGTCAGTTGGGTAACATCTTTGAGAAAAAGAGCACCATGATCCAATTCACTCTGCCAGAAATTTGGAAACACCATGCTGTACTGCTTGGCAATTAGTGCTGAAACCTCTAATACGAACATTTCAGAATGTTTGGATGTCAATCTGAGGACAGTGTAGAGAATTCAG